TTCAAGCCCTTCACTGTATATAGAATTAGAAAGCCAGTGACGTCACTTGAATGACCAGCAAGAACTGTAAAGGCGGAGGCTGCAGAGCAGTCAAAGCACCAGCAGAGTTTGGTCTCTGGAGAAACAGGGCCAACCAACTGCATCACTGGATCCTGAGGCAGAGCGATGGCAGCCTGTGCTGCTCTGCCCACTTACCTGGGAATGCTCAATGGGGCTACTATCTTCTGAGCAGACGTATATAGGGTTGCATGCTCAGTTTCACTCTCTTCTTCCTAAACTTCCATAAACTCCACAGCAGTGGTGACAAATAGAAACTGCTTAAGATTTTCAGTAAGTTGTGCTATGGACTTTGGAAACCTACAGATGTGTCCTTGGAAAGCTACTCCATCTTTACTCAGACTGTTTTGCTCTCTCTAAGATAACCAATGATTGGCATGCAGTATCCAACAGCCTAATGTTTCTTAATGTTACTCTGTGTCCAGCTTGTAGGAAGTGACCAGACAATTGCTGTCTGCCTCTTGAGCCCTCACCATAGTCCAGACATCAAAACTAGCAAGTCCCTTCTCATTCTTTCTGATCTTTGAACACGCTGAAACAATGGCATTAAATAGACAAATATTTCTGTGTGTCTGGGCCTCTCTTTAGGCCCCCTCTACTCTTTACATTTAGCTTCCTATCATTTTTCTTTGAAAATAGCCCCAAACTGGGAAGTATGACATTTAATACAATACAATACAAGCCTGCAACATGTATAGTACCCATTCTACAATGTGATTGACCACTTTGGAACTGCATGCAAAATATAGTCTATGGGGTGGTCAAGGAGCCACCAGTTCTTCTCAGAGCTCTGCCAGTCAAAGATTTATTTTCCATCCTTACTTATCCAAATATGTCTACATCTTAACAGGTATATATAAATGTATAATATATCTCTATAAAGATATAGAAATGTCATTTTGCTTTTAGCTTGAAGATGTTGATATTTTATTACAAAAATAAATGAATAAATAGTAATACAATGATATATTGTTGCTTTCGACAGGATAAATATTTTACAAATATATAATCTTTTAAAAACAAATGTAACTGTTAAATTATGGAAAATATGACACTTATTGATAAAATTATCAATAATATATACTGCATTTCTTATTGGAATTGATTGTTCTCCAAAGATTCAATTGAAAACCCTTCATATAAAACAAGTTTCGACCATTGCAATATGCAAATGCCATTGACTACATTAAAAGATAAAGTATGCTTTTAAAAAAATCTGATGTGATTTAAATACAAGCCAAAAGTTTCTGTTTATATTCTGCAAAATTGCCTGTCGAAAACAGTGATCAGTGAGGTGATTTAAACATTTTATATTGGTTAGAGATTTGGACTGAACGTAATGAAGTCAACTAGAAACTCAGGGTGGGAGAATAAAAAAAGCTTGCAGAAAAGGAATGTAAATCTTGGAATCACTCAGATTGATTTAATGATGTTAGTAAACTATTTTGCCCCCCTTCTTTTCCATTTTGATAGAATGGAATATAGGAAGAGCCTAACTGTGTGGTCTTAAACGTTTTCTCAGAAGTAAATTTCCCATTATGCTCAATGAAACTTTTCCCCAGTTGTGCCTTTAAACAGTTGCAGTTTGAATTATCAGTCGCGGAAGGCAGAATGGTCAGTTATTACAGTGCTTAAAAACATTAAGAGATCTGACGAGATAAAGCATTTCCATTATTTTCATGTTACAACAACATATGTTCTCTTTAATGCTTCCTCTCAGTGCTGGGTGGAATTTTAATTCTGAAACGTCAGTCCTACAAACATCAAAGAGAGGTAGGGAGGAAGGGAGGGGAGGGAAGGAAAGGGAAGGAAGGAAGGAAGGAAGGAAGAAAAAAAGAAAGAAAGAAAGAAAGAAAGAAAGAAAGAAAGAAAGAAAGAAAGAAAGAAAGAAAGAAAGAAAGATAGCAGGCACCTTGGTAGATTGTGTGTATATCGACACAAACATATTTTGCAAATAATTGCTTTCAGAAATGACTGACCAAAACCTTCCTTAATAAAAATGTGAGGCTTTCATCAAAATGCAATAAGCAAATGACTAAAACAAATTTCATACAGACTCACTTTTGGCAAATCCCCCCCATCCTTTCCAGTCTTTCTCTGCTTTGAATGTAGGATTTTATCTCATGTAGTGGTCACTGTATCAATCACATAAAATCAAGTTTATGGCCTCAACAGTGGAAATTTTCTTTCCTTGTTTCTCTTGCACCCAGTCAAGACTATAAGCTGGGACATCGAAAATTAAAGTAAAATAAATCCTACACTAGTCTTACCAAGCTGTTTTCCATCCTTTTTAGGGTGTTGCCAAAGTCAACAAGCATGTGGTATTTACTAATTTAATTGGGAGTTAAACAATGCCTTTCAGAGAGTTGGTCTAAAAACTTACTGGAAAGAAATAACATTAGTTATCTGTTTTAAACATTTATCAAGTTAAAGAAATGGCTCTAACAGTCTGTTCAAACCTTAGGTTGATCATCACTTTTAGATTTCTGCTTCTGTTTAGGGGGGAGTGCAGAACACACAGTCTGAGTAAAGTATTATATTATTGCAAACATGGGATTCAAACTTCAAACCTGTCCTAGCTTCTTTTCCTTTCTTGTGTAATAGTAACAAACAGGATAACCCGCATGTTAATGGTATATCTACCAATATCCTTAGTAACACCAAATTTCACATTTATTGTAATATATGACTAATGTAAAATGTGGAAGAAGGGAGCACTATCTCTAATGTATCTGCACCCAAGTCACCTCCCAGACATTTCTCTAAAGCAGTACAACAATTATAAACTATCAGAACTCTAATTAAAGCTCTGGGTGTTTTCTTCTTTCTCCCTATTCATATGTGTACATTTAGAAGTATCATTTGTTAAATTATGGTGGTGATAAATTAAACGAAAAGTTATATATACCACAATGCATTGAAATAATATATTTTCTCGGGGAAACCACACTTTATGGATTGTATTGCAAATGGAGGAGGATAGATAGCTTATCACCTGGGACTACTGTGCTAAACTTATTCCTTAAAAAGGAATTAAACAATGGCTTTATGTTCTAAAGTCTTGCTTTATCAATCCAATACACACTCTCGATGCATTGATATAGAAATACTGAGTAACTACCTACGGGTTTATTAGGAGTGGAACTACTTCTAAATGGCTAATTTCACCAGTACTGGTGAAAAAAGGGTTCTCTCCCTCCTCTGTCAAAAATATCATCAAAAGCTACAGAAAACAGTTTGGTTCTATTTTTGATTCCGTCATTTAAAAGGATTTCAGTAACTTACTAGACACATTTTTTTTAATGTATCAGACAAAAGACTATTTCATTCTAACAAATTTATTTTCTCAATCAGTTCTTACGGAATCACTACTCAAATTAAATTACAATCAAATTATCACATCAAAAGATACCCTTATTACCTAATAGCTGTCCGTATTTTTTTTCCATTTTATTTTTTTAAATTTGTGCTCGTTTGAAAAAAACACGTAATACAAGATCTGGGGAAAAAATAAATTACCGTTTTGCAGTAGTTCATAGGTATTCTGAATAAAATATTAAAAGAAGTCATTTAATGAAAATATAAAGCAAATTTTTTTAGATCAACAATGGATCTAAACAATTCTCTATTGCCGTCTTTTTTCTTTTTGTTTGTTGAAAAGTCTGTTTATTAAAACCTACCAAAAACACTGCGAGGAAATGGCAGTATTATAGAATCACTTCCACAGCACCCATTCAAGCAAGTTGGCAACGGATTTAGGAGAGAAGTTCAGATAAGTGCAGCTGTAGATGCCCAGTTGCTTTTAAAATCCCTTTATCTGAATTAGTCCAAAAATAAAAAATATTAATAAAAATTATCAGTGAGATTTTTAAAAATTAATCTTCCAGGGTGATTGGCAGCCATCAGAAGCATAATTTTGATAGCCCCTGAATTATTCCTTTTATGCCGCTGTTTTTCTTAATTCATGCAAAATCCAACTTTAAGGACTAACAACCTTGCTTCGCCTTTCCCCCTTCACCCCCTCCCGGCAGTAGGAGCCCTTCCCCCCTTTTCTTTTCAGGGTCAGCTTTCTACTTGTCCTGTTTCTTTCTTTCTTTATCCCCTCCCCCTCCTCTCTTTCTCATTGTATATAAATTTGCTTTCCTATCCCGACTGCTTATTTTTTTTAACTGCTGAGTGCATTATTTCCCCATTTTTCCCCATCTAAAGAGCCTGTCACCTTTTTCTTTTCATTTTGCAGAATATCATCCTTCTCAAGTGTATTCTTATCCTGCACCCAAAATTAATGTAGTTTAACCAAGAATAACTTAAGTTCTGGAAAGCAGCTAATATTTGTTACTGGTTTTGTTCCTGCTGCGGCTCTTTCTCTCTCTAACCTTTCGCGTGTATTTTTTTGAAATGCGTGTCTGTGTTTATACGTGCACGTGTTTGAGCTGGAGAGAAAAGTTTCAGGGAATCTCACAGGACGGTCCTTTGAAAAAGAACGGTGAATGCGGTGGCAGGTGGGTGAGGCTAGGAAATGACGAAGGAGAAGAGAAAGGTAGGGGGATAGAATAAAAGTAGGTGGCGGTGCTTGTTTTATCGCTGCAGGGAGCAACGACAGGGCATAATTTAGATCTTGTCGTGGGAAAAAAAAGAAAAGAAAAGAAAAAGAAAAGAATTATCAATTTTTGGTCTGTCTGGGTTTCCATCAAGCTGTTTTTCTCCATGCTGAGATGGAATTCCCATCGCTGGGCTGGGCTGGACTTCTCCAAATGTTTCTGACACAGAGACAGGTAAAAATGATGGGGTCGGGAAACCGAACAGAAACGTGGGCTGCAGGTGTCTGGTCGTGTTTTTGTTTTCCTGTTTGCCTCCCTTCTCCTTCTCCCTCCCCTCCCCCACCAGCGCTGTGCTTGCCTCCCCCCCCTCTCTCGGTTTCCTCTCCTTCTCCTCTCGCCCCCCCTCTCTCTAATAACTCCTCTCATTTCTGTGACGACCACTCTGTCCCTCTGACTGTCTTTCTGTCTTTTTCACTGCACGCTCGCCTGAAGTCCGTGGTGCGGGGGCGGCGTGTCGGAGCTGACGTTGCCGACCTGGGAGTAGACATCGTCGGGCGTCTGCTGCTGGATCCCAGGGGGAGTCATCCGTTTCTCTTTCTGCCTTCGGTTGCAAAACCAAACCCTGACCACTTCCTTCTCCAGCTGCAGGCTGTCCGCTAGGTTCGTAATCTCCTGGGCGGAGGGCTTGGGGCATTTCAGAAAGTGGCTCTCCAAAGCCCCCTTGACACTCACCTCGATGGAGGTCCGCTTCTTCCTCTTCCTGCCCTGCGCGGCGATCTTGTCGATGCTGGTGGGGCTGCCCGTGGACGAGTCGGCTTCCTCCAGCCACTTATTTAACAAGGGCTTGAGTTTGCACATGTTCTTGAAGCTGAGCTGGAGGGCCTCGAAGCGGCAGATGGTGGTCTGCGAGAAGACGTTGCCGTACAGGGTGCCCAGCGCCAAGCCCACGTCGGCCTGCGTGAAACCCAGCTTGATCCGGCGCTGCTTGAACTGCTTGGCGAACTGCTCCAGGTCGTCCGAGGTCGGCGTGTCCTCGTCGGAGTGCGGATCGTGGCTGTTCAGGCCGCCGCCGCCGCCGTGGTGCGGGTGCGGGTGCGGGTGGTGGTGGTGGTGGTGATGATGGCCCGGGTGGTCGCCCAGCTCTGGCGTGTCGCCCCTCACCAAGCCCGGGTGCACCAGGCTCTGGCTGCCGGGCGGGGGGCTCAGCATGCCGTTGACCGTGAAGCCGCCGGGTTGCGAGTAGATGAGCGACTGCTGCTGCTGCTGGCCGGCCATGGAAGGCAAGTGGGCGGCCGTGGTGGAGCCCCAGTGGCTCTGGTGCGGGGGACCCAGGTGCGGCGGTGGGGGCCTGTGGTGCAGCGCCGCGCTGGAGTGCAAGTCGTCCCGCCCGCCGCTGCCGCCGCCACCCTTCACGTCGGGCTGCTGCTGTTGTTGTTGCTGCTGCTGCTGCTGCTGCTGGGGGCTGCCCGTCATGCCCACCGGGCTGCTGGACCAGGGCGAGCCGGCTTCCGCGGCGGCGGCGGCCGCGGCGGCGGCGGCGGCGGCGGCGGCCGCGTGGGGCAGGGCTGTCACCCACTGGTGCGCGTGGCTCAGCATATGGCCGCCGTTGCTGGCCGCCATGGCGCCCTGCATGAAGTCACTCTGGACCATCTTCACGGAAGAAGGGTCGGTCCGGTAGCCCCCGCCGGACACTGAAGTGACGGCCACGCTGCCCGGCTGCATCCCTCCGCCGGAGTCCGAGTGGACGATGGAGCCCGCCGACAGGATGCTGTTGCTCGCCAGGTAGGGGTTAGACGCCGCCGTAGCCATCACTGCTGCTGCTGCTGCTTTTCTCCCCCCCACTCCACTTCGCACTCCAGCCTCCGCAGCCAAGGAGCGTGGGAGGAGAATCCTCGCCTGCCCGCGCGCCCGACCGCCCGCTCGGCCGGCACCGAGGCGAGTTCCGCGCCGTGCGCGCCCTCCTGGGCTCTGAGGTGCCTTCTTCAGAAAAGGCAGCCCGACCCCAGCGCTTCCGCGTCTCCCCCCCCCCGAACAGCCCTTGCTATTTACCTGTCAGCAGCAGCCAGTATATTGCAGCAGAGGGCGGGGGGGGGCAGGGAGAAAGAGGGGGGGGGGAGAGCGAAAACTAGGGGAGGGGGTCACCCGACAAGAGCTCCCCCTTTGGCTTTCCTTTTCTCCCTCAGGAGCATAGTTCTCTCGCAGTTTCTAGGTTGTTGGTTGTTGTTTTTTTCCCTCCGGGAAAGTTTCTTTCTTTCCCCCCGTTTTCCCTCTTGTAAGGCTTTGTAAGGTAAGTAAAATGCGGGTGGGCTCCTTGTTTTTTTCCTCCGCACGTCACGCGCACCCTCTCTCTCTCTCTCTGTCTCTCTGTCTCTCTTTCCGCCGGCGCGACTCGGCTCCTTAACGGTCTCTCTTGCCTCCCTTTTCTCTAACACACAAGTTTTGTTTGTGTCCTAAGAAAACTTCTGGCATGGCTGGCGGCGGAGGCGAAGCTGAAGAGACGGCATTGCTCAAAGTTGATGTCCGGTTGAAGCGCCCGGATCCCTTGGAAACAGGACTCCTTTGGCAACCTTTTTGCGAGGGTCTGGAGAAGACATTTTCCTTGCCTTTTCTGCCTTCCCTCCTTCTGGGTGCCTCTTTCTTCCTCTTTTCACATGGGGAAAGGAATCGCGGGCGAGCGGTTCGTTTTTCCTTTTTCTCCAAACAAAACCAACCGGCGAAAAAAGTTTACAATTTCTGATCCCCTCCCATGCGGGGCAGGTCTGGGGTGGACAGGAGGGAAGGCGAGGCGAGGCGGCGGTCCGGCTGCTGTGGGAGAAGGCTTGGAGTCGCCTGGGTGAGAAGAGATGTGCGGCGGCGTGAGCGCATATATGGTATCCTTTAGCCACTAACTCCAGTGGGAAAGTTCGCTGCCAGGTTCGCGAAGCGTTAGTTGCTCCGGTGGTGCTGGAGTACAGCAGCTCAGCTCAGTAATGCTCTTCCCTCGTTGCCGCTGCTGGTGTGCTGCCGCTGCTGCTGCCGCCGCCGCCGCCTGCTCTCCTCCCCCTCCTCTCTTTCTCTTTCTCTCCCTCTGACAGTTCTCTCTCTGTCCCTCCCTCGCAGAGCAGGGACTGTCGAATGTTTACCCTCAGCCTTGAGCGCGCGCACCACCACCACACTTTCCCAAATACAAGGAAGTCGAGCGCGAGGGCCCCTGCTGATTGGCTACCCGCTGAGTGATTGACAGGCCCGGAATGACTGGCTCAAGACGCGAGGCCCCCCTTCCGGCCGTTCCGATTGGTTGCTTTTTAATTTAGGCAAAGTGTCGTGGAGGCTGGAAACCTGCCCTACCCCCCCCCAAGTCCCCCTCCCTCGGCTTCTTCTTTCTGGCGCTGCCTCCCCTCGCTTCCCTCCTCCTTCCGAGGACCCACAACATCTTAACTCTTGGAGCCCGGCGAATAAATCGGAGCTTTCCCGGCTCTGAGCTGAGAAAAGGGAGGCGAGAGAAAGGCGGGAGGCGGGAGGCGCGAAGGGGGGGGGGAGCCAACGAAAAGAAGGGAGGGGGAGGAGGAGGAGGATAAAGAGGAGCAGGGAAGAGGGGGCTGCTGAGGTGGTGGTAGAAAAAGAAAATCCACGATATAATATTTTACTTGCGTGCCTAAAAATTCCTCTTATGGGCGCTTAATCCATGTGTCGGGGGAATTGCCTCATCCGCACGGCCCCGTCGGTAAAAGGGAGGAAGGGTTGTCTCCCGGCATCTTTCAAAGTTTACTCTTCTACCGGCTCCGTCGGATGCATAAAGAGGGGTTCCCCTTATTCCGACGCGGCTTCCCAGTTCCCAGTGGCAACCTCAGGGAAGCCGGGGCGAGATCCGTGAGCTTTGGCCCATCCGTGCAGGCAACCGGCCTCCGGTTCCTTTGTCTGAGGCTGTCCCGGTGGCTGCGCGTCATGTGGGGAAGCACAAAGCCCGGCTCACTCTCCCTCTTGGAGGAGCTTGTGCCCGCGACCCACCGGGGTCTCGGAGGAGAAGTTACCAAGTGGAAGAAAGGCTCTTCTTTCAGCACGCGCTGTTGCAAAAACCAGGGCAAGGCACAAGGCGTCCTTTCAAAGCCCTTCGCCGCACTTTTCCGTTGCTTTCTAAAATATGCCCGGACGCGCCTTTCCGACCCCCCCCCCCAAAGGACTCTTAGTTCCTTCTAGCGGCCTTCGCCTTTTTTTTCAAACTCACCCCTTTTCCGAGGGTATTTTGCAGGAGGTAGATCCGGCTCGAGGACCCCTTGGATGGCTGCTCCTCCAGCTGAAAGAGTTAAGGTGGGCGGGAGAGCGAGCGAGAGAGATGGGGAGAGAAAGGGAGGGAGGCAGGCAGGCAGGCAGAGCGGACGAAGCCGTGCGAAAGGCAGCGCGGCAGCGAGGCGACCTCAGTGAACAACGGGCAGAGAAAGTGGCGAGCCAAGCGAGGGGACGCGGACCTGCCTGGGGATTCTGGGGGGGGGAGAGAGAGAGAAAACACACCTTTCGGGCGTTCAGTGTGGTTTGGGGGTTGGCGGGGCTCCTGTCACCTTCATCTACCCGGTCTCTCTCGCAGGCTCTTTCGGTAAAAATAAGTCCAGCGTGTTTACACACTGAGAAGGGCAACACAACCCCCTCGCTGCGCGCGGACTTCCCTCCAATTCGCAGGCTTGCCAAAGAAAAGTCCCACGTAGGGGAATGCCAGGCTGGCGCTACCTCCAATTGTCCCTTCACCCCACCCTGAAAAAGGGAAGGTATGCGGGACTGGCCCGGTGGGGAGAGGAACCGGAGACTGGCAGCGGAGGTTCAGGACTCGCTCCAGTTCCTGCTTGTATAGTTAAAAACGACACACCATTTTAGGTCTTTGGTTTCGGGGGGGGGGGGAAGAAGGGTGGGAGACAGTAATGTGAATTATTCCGAGACCTACACCTCAGCCCAGGAAAGGCGAAATAGCCCGAGTTCCTTTTTTTTATTGCTCGAGTCTTCCCGAGGTTTTCCTCTTTCCAACGGAGCTGGAGAGATGAAGGATCGGAGACAAGATTCCATTGAATCGGTGTGAGATCTCCAGGTGCAGCGGAGTCAATGGTCGGTGCCAGAACCCCATGTTTTCTTTTCCAGCCGATTTTGCTTGGATCAGGCTCAAAAACCGAGTGAGTCTCGTGGTTTTGTTTACACTGAATGGGGAGGATAGCAGCGGTGCCATGGGGCCGTCTTTCATTAATATACAGTGAGGATTTTGTCTAAATTACTGCTATGAATTTCACAGTACATGCTTTCAAAAGCCGTCTCAGGTGGCCTGATGAAACGTGATAGCGCCTCTGCAGATGCAGTAATAATAATAATAATAATAATAATAATAATAATAATAATAATAATAATAATAACCACCACCATCATAATAATAAGTTTTAAAAAATCTCCCGGAACCCAGCCTAGACTCACCAAACAAAGAATTGCTGACTGAGTTTGACGTTTTTTTTTTTTAAATTTATTTAAGGTTAAAAGAAAACTTAATCCTCCTCATCTCCCCATCTACTCACTCCCCACCCCGCTTTCCTGTAGAGTGTGATTGCTTTGTCTGGGAAAAAAAAATCCAAAGTATAACAAGAGGAGAACAGTTAGTGCTGATTTTCATTTGCATAAATTTTCATATATTTTAGTGAAAATAATAGACTAGTGGAGAGCTGGGCTTAGTGGAGTCAGTGCAAAGGAAAATCTTTCCCTGGATCGTTGCGCTGCAGTCGAGAATGTGAATTTTCCTCCTTAATAGCAAAGCATTTAAAATATAAATTCTGTTCATACTGGAGAGCCTATTGGTAAGTGCATTTATATTTCTCTCCCTTTCTTGTCCTTACTTTTTCTTCTCACCCCCCCCCCTCCCATGCGCCCTGGAACAGTGTGGATGCATGAGAGGACTCCCCCCACACCTTCTCAAGCACCTTAGTGAAAGATTAACCCAAGAAAGAAAGCAATTTCTGAGTGCTTGTGGTGCCTATGCACTTTGGGGGGCACTGGTGTAGCACTTGGAGAAAGGGGGCGAAGAAAGAAAGAAAGACCATCGCAAGAAAGAGAGTGTTTCGCATTTGGCAAAGGAGTGGCCGGAAAGGGGGTGCCGTTTTCCCACCTCCCCCCACGAGAGAAGTGAGGATACCTTTAAAAACACTAACTGTACGCTATCTATGGGACACGGGCTGACCCGGAGGGGTAGCAACCCGGCGGCGGCGAAGGCCGGCAGTGATGCGCGCAGAGGGTTAATGTTGTAACTAGGGAACAGACGGTTAAGCACAACATCTTAGAGCTCTGTAGTGAAAGTCCATCAGAAAGAGTATAATCAATCAAAAACTAACCAGGACATCTCTTCATTTTATCCTCTGAGGAGGCTGGGACTGAAGCAGAAACAGCCGACTTCGCCCCAGCTCTCTCCCTCTCTTTCTCCGAGGCAAACCGACCCCCTCCAACACACCCACCCGCACCCGCACCCCACCATTCTCCTTGGCGCCCTTCCTCTTAGATCCCGGATTTCACAGAAGGGCTTGGAAACCTTCTTCTTGCAGAGGCGCAGATCGGAAGGGTATCCTAACGGGAATAATTAGAAAGCCGGCCAGGTTGGAAGGCGAAGCGGGTGGAGGCGATCGGGGGCAGACTGGGAGAAAACTTTAGCCGGCTCTCTAAATCCCTAATGCCGTGGGCGTCCCACTCCCCATTTCCATAATTCCTCCCCCCCCACTCTACTTTTTATTATTTTTATTTTCGTGTTCCAGAGTTTCCTCTTTGCCTTAGAAAGCCCGCAATTCACACATGTGTGTTTTTTCAGTTGTAAAACAAAAGGACCGCAACAGCACATAGCAAATCCCGGCATTAGATCGAGAGGTGGCTCGTAGGGAGGTGTCGGTTTCGGATGGGGGTGGAGGAGAACGGCCGGTCTCCCTTCTCTCGTTGGCGCGCTCAGCTTCCCTTTTGACTGGGGTTAACTCTGTGTGTTCCATTGGAACAGATGCCGTATAAAGCTGCTCCCTCCAGATCATTTGTTTCCTTGATGGGGGAACATTTCTGAGCGGAACATATTGG